TGTGTGTGTGTGTGTGTGTGTGTGTGTGTGTGTATACACTTGTACAGATTTAGCCTACAACCTACGGACTGAGGACATTTTGGTCGGTCCACACTTTTTGACCAACTTTGAATGGTTTTGAGTTAAGATGTGGGTTAGGCATGTAGTTTTGATGTTTAAGGTTATGGTAAGGGACTAGGGAATGCATTATGCCAATGAGTGTCCTCACTAAAATATATGTACAAACATATGTGTGTGTTTTGGGTGAAATCAAAAGCCTTTAAAACCGCTTTAACACACTTTCCACGTTTCGCCCTTGTTCTGACCCTGAATACTTCCTGCCTCTGCTGTAAAGAGGGGTGCCAATTTAGAGGGTTTAACATGTTTAAAACATTTTAAGACGAAGTGTAAAGTTAAGGTGGTTTTCCCACAAGCTTGTTGAGCATGGTCATCTGGCCCCAGAAAGACGGTAGAGAAACTTGTAGCTTGGGAGAGAGGGCAAGAGGAAAAAAAAGAGTGGGAGTGGGGGTGGGGGTTAGGCGGCAAAGGACATTCAGTTCAAGCTTTCCCTGCCAAGGCTCTGTGTTGTTAATGCATGACAGGCAGTTTGAAAGTGCCTGGCTTTTGTGCCTTGATTCATTGTACCAGCCACACAGCATGAGAAAAGAGTACATCCCAGGCCTCTTTGTGGACCTCAAGTTAGTGGCAAGGTCAGACCTAGTATTGAGTTGTACCCAGTGTTTTTCTTGCTTATAAAACTTGTTATGCAACTCCCTTCAGAGTACTGTCAGCTTGTCCCTTTCTGTAGCATATTGAACCAATAGGCTGGATAGAAAACTGCTTATTACAACTCAGTGCTTTGAAAGTGTCAGCAAAGCCAAAATTCTATTTTGCCATGTTCCCTTCACTTCTTCAAAGCTTTGTTTCATGCAAAGTTTAATTCCATGCATCTTTAAAGCAAGTCAATCTGGCTAGAACACAGTACTGTGTATGGCATGATTGTATTTTTAAAGCTCACTTTGGAAAAATGCAACCGATACATCACAGAACGGGTGTTGTGCCATTCATACGTTTCAAATGAAATGATTAGTTGTGTATATTACAGTCCGGAGAGGGCCACACGCACCGTTTGTTTTTGGGGTTTCTTCACAGACAACTTTATTTATTGATGCTTATTGGGACGTGAGGATGATTTCAACAAAAAAGATAAAAAGTGTTTATGAAACAAATTACCAACCCCACCTTTAAGTTTGTGGACTAATGAATGCATACACTTTTATAACACTGCCATCGCCCTTGACATTGCATTGACATTTAGATATTAGTGCAATACACAAGTAGAGTAAGTTATTTGACCACTTCATGTATGTGACGCATCCCTGCCTTCTTAAAGAAAGCTAACCCCGCTCTAGTATCTTGTGATGATTCCTTAGCACACACCCAACCATTTCATTTGGTATCCTGTTACATGATTTAGCAGCTCTGATGACATTAGGATACAATGTCGTGGCCACTGCATCGGACCATGAAAGAGTTTCTCCCCAGGGTCTATGGCCAGATACAGGATGTCATTACAGCTCTGTGCTGCTCACCAAGTCTTACTTAATTCTAATGGCAAGTTTAGCAGATACCTGAACAAACCTTTGGGGACGTGTGACATTTTTACAGCCGTTGATGAGTTGCTAAACATATTACACAACAGATGCCTTTCTTCAGCGCTCACAGCTTGACATAAAACTGTTAACCTGAGACTTCACGAGCTGTTTCTGGTCTCACATTCAGACTTTCTTTCTGTTTTACCCGTTCCCTGAGTGCGTGTTATAAAATTATAAAAGAAGCTTGAAGAGGTATTTATTTTTAACCTGGCAAGGAACATGATCGACTTTAATTGAAGTAAGAAAGGGTTAGGATTATAAACATGCTGTGAAGCTGGGGCAGGTTCTCTGAGGACACACTGACTGTCGGTGCCCTTACAGTTGAAAGAGACTGCTACAACTCATGGCATTTAAATCCCTGCGCTGTTTGGCTGCAACAGCTTTGTGTCAGCTCCCAGAATTAGCTCAGCTGATGAGTTTTTCTCATCTACAGTAGCATGTGTAAGATATTGGATGTTAAAACTAAATTTGGTTTTGAGTCATGTGTCCTAAATTCTGAATCTAGCTGTAGTTTGGAGCTTACAGGTTAAGGAGAAAACACCAGTTCTGGATATGATCCTGAACAAGTCCATCTGACCCTCTTCAGTTGGTCTAGTAACACTCCTCTTTAGAAAGCTGTGAAGGAGTGGAGGACTGTTTGTTCTGGGCAGCCTCAAGGTGTGAATCTACATAAATGTGTGAATGTGAAGCAGGCTGGCACTAAAAAAAGGCTTGCACGCTAGGCCACTGTCTTCTGGATAGATATAGGCTTAAGAAGCGACCTTATATGTGACATATGTGGAGATTGGTTTTTATTCCCAAGTGAGCACATGGACATGAATTGAAATGAGATGTGAAAGCTAAATTACTATGGTGTAATTTGTAATCGTCAGCAACCTTACTCCTTCCACAGATTTGTAATCCCTTTATGTTTGAATAATTTCACACACAAATGTTTAACTAAAACCTTGAAATTCTCTGGTCCACACTGGAGAAATGATTCAAGATGTTGTGCATGACATTGTGAAATCTTTTATGGGAATTGATCTGAAATAGACTGGATCACATTGAGAGTGTTGTGAAGGAACAGCTAATTTAAGATTTAGTTAGACTAATTTAAGTTAGACTACTTAACCTGTAATAACTTGGCTAAACACTTTGGCATTATCTAAATAGCTAGTTAGTTAGCTACACCAACAATATGTGTGTGTGTGTATATATTTATATACATTCCTCACTTGTGCAAGTATTCACCCTAACAAACACATGTCTGACTGGTTTGTGAATGGAAAGACTAAATGTGGCATTCTCTTCACGTGCATTAACAGCAGTATCCTCTGAACATAAATTATAATCAAGTTACATCACCTATCAATTAATCTACTAGATTCTTCATGTTGCCTGTTTTCCTTATCAGCATTTTGCACTGTGGAATCTATGTTTCTTGGTCTAAGGCGATAATAAATTTTCCTTTGACTTTGTTTTTTATATTTTTTTCTATGTTGTGTACATCGTGTATGTGTAAATTAATCAACAACCATGTATTGTGCAGTTGTCATGGCTTGTCATTTTTGTGTGTAAATCTTTTAGTAAGTTTGCCTTTTTTCACCAGCTCTCTCTTCATACACGAGGAGAGATGGACAACTTTAGTTTGCTCCCGTAAAACAAACAATTTTGTTGTTTTCATTTCAGAAGAGATGTAAATCAAATTTAGACTTGCAACTAAAACAAAGCGTGTCGTGCCTTTTGTGTTGTTTTTCATATGTGGCATTTATAATTCTTTCTTACAATGAAACTTTACTTTGTCTTTCAGGGTTCAAAGCGTCTCCTTAGATCAAATGAGTACATCCTCCCTCCCAGCGGACTGATGGAGACAGATCTGGAGCTCACATTCTCACTACAGGCAAGGCCTCTGACATGATACTGTGAATTCTCACACTGATGCGGCACTTACTTGACAGACAGGACCGTGTTGAAGTCTTTAGCCACATTGGTGCACCCTCTTGACTACTTTGGTGTTGGTTTTTTTCCGATAGCAACAAATTTAAGTTCAAAATCTTCATACATGGGTATTTACAATACTTTGTATTGATTATATCAGACTTTGCTGTTCAAAATCTGCTTGTAAGACTAATGTTATTATTATTGTGTAATTATTATCCAAGTGTATTCTTACTCTTGCAGAAACAGAATCAACCCTTGAAGTCATTGAAGCAAACATTTTTTTATGACAGAATGTTTCAGATTTTAAAGTACGACGATAGATGTATGCTGACAGTTTACATACTGGAACAGCTAGATGAGTGTAGAGGTGAACTAAGCAAGAATATGAACTTTGTCCCACTTCAAGGTCTGTCTCCTTTAGAGGACACGGTCTACACTGATCAATAAGACGCAGCCTTCGTGGGCTGGGAAGACCGCCAAGACTGAATTAAAATTAGATAGTCTGATCTACGGAGGATTACCTATTGGTGTCACTAGTTGTACTGCTCAAAGTATGCATTAGTTTGAGCGAGACAAGTCCTGTCCTCACTGCAGCTCAACTAGCTCGTTAGCTTTGTCACTGGTGCGCAATGAATCCTGGGATAGGTTTGCCAGAAATGCCTGTCGGATCCTTTGTTTTCCTGGAATGCAATGACACATTTGTTGGCCACATTCAAACAGTTGTTCAAAATGGGACACTCTTGTCATCAAGTGCTGCCTCTGAAGGAGCCAGCCCCTGAATTGAGAAAAGCAAATGTGAGGATGAAATACTGAAATAAGGTGAATTGTTGCCAATAGTTCAGCCATTGAAAGTTTTTATTTTTTATTTTTGTGAAAGTGAAGTTGCAGGTTGTCATAATTTGGGGTCTTTGCTTGCATCTGAATACAATGATTGTGCCTGCATGTCTATATGAGCTTGGCCTAGTTGTGGTATCAGCACCAGCACTTCTCACAATTCAATGCAAATAGTATTTTTACAGCAATTTAATCTTGTGAATCATTTTGGATACATTCACGGTACAAGAAGAACTTGCAGTGTGAGCAAGCCAAATGTCAAATAATAGCTGAATAAATTATTTTTTAATTTAAATTATAGAGCAACAAAAACAAATTGAATGTGGTGATATAAGTGCATGTGTGTTTCTAATTAAAGGCTGTTGTAAATATTGTCCTTATCCGACTTTATTTTTGTTCTTTTTCAGTACCCTCATTTTCTGAAGAGGGACGCCAACAGACTGCAGATCATGCTGCAGAGGAGGAAACGTTACAAGAATCGAACCATCCTGGGCTACAAAACGTTGGCCGTGGGAGTCATCAATATGGCTGAGGTACTGTTCAGTGGCTCGAGTGGGGGCACCACTTTCAATCATCTCATTTCATGTTTCAGTTTCAGCCATTTCATTTCTCTTTTAAAAAACGTATGATTTGGCTCAGGAGCTTGTGATTACAGTCTGTGACGCTCTGACAATGACTGACATGTCTATTAGTGTCTTTGTAACCATGTCTTTGTTGCCAACGAGAGGCTTTCCTGCGTTATTGTGTCATTTCAAATGATTCATGCTCGTCACACATTCTGCTGTGTGAGATTACGGGCCATCTGGAACTGGCTTCATATGCACTTCTCTCCAAATAATGTATTCAGTTGTGTTATGCGTAAATAATGGCATAGGAGCTTCTATAATGCCCAGTGATGTTTTTTAATGTTAATGTACAGTTAAGTTCTTGATCCTGATCTAACGTTTACTTCATACTGCTGAGCCATGAAGATGATTTTTTAAAGTGGGTCTACTTGCATTGCTTCCTAATGCCTACAGTACAGTGGCCAAGACTTCTCACATAAGTGCATTAATGGAAAACACTCATGCAAAAGCCACAACACAGCTACAAACACTTAACTGTAGAAAGTTGGTCAAGAAATGCTGGTTGTTTCATTGTAATCAACCACTGTAGTTGTGTTTCCATTGTGGCTTTTGCAGTCGTGTTGTCACTTTTGCATTCGTGTTGTGGCTTTTGTATTCATATTTTCCGTGCACTTGTGAGCTATGTCTCGGCCACCTACCTGTACTATTGTCATGGTAGAGATCACGAATTGAAACTGTTAGCTTTTTTAATTGTGCCATTCTGTGGGTCAAAACAACCTGTGTTTTTACCTCAGGTATAATTGGGAAAATAGGTTTTACACAGTAGATACAGATCAATTTAAATGTCTAGCTCGGGATTTGATATACTGGGTGTTTGTGTGCAAAAGAGATTGAGATGAAAAAGGGCTTCTTGCAACAGAGGAACACGGCTAACATTTTTGAATACCAATTACAGCAGCTGATGTGTGATCCATGGTCACCCTAAGTGACCTTCCTCTTAATATAGTGTAGTCTGACCATGTTGTGGAGATTTGGTCTGGTTGAACCCAGAATCATTCTCCTATCGGTAAAAAACCCTCTGGTTTGTTCATATTTCTTTCACCAATCATCTTTGCAATTGGGCAGACAAGCACTGTCATAAAAATGGGTATTTTCCCACAAGGAAAATGCCACAGTAATTGAAACAGTATGTTGACTATGTGATTGCACGATTAAAATCTTGATATTCTTGATGTTTTTAGGCTAACATGCAGCTAGGAAGTCATTGTTGTTTAGCATTTCAAAATGGTAAAAGAGAAGCAAGTATAAGGCTGTCTGAATTAGGCAACCAATGGCAGCCTTTAGGGCACGGTCACACATGTGTGAGCAAATAAATATCAGCTGCGGTTTTGTTTTGCCACAGGAAGCAAATGTTTTATTCGGCCCCTCGCTCAGACAGATCGGAGAATGCAAAGGTTCGCCATTGCTTCTTTCGTGTATGTGTGACCATGCCCTTATACACACAGTGTAGATCCAGTGAGTTGGATGTCTTTTCTGAACTAGCCCCAAGACAGGAGCTGACTGACATCTGAAAACCAGATTAATGCATTATTGCAAGCACTCAGCTGCTGTGCTGTTTTGCTGTGCTGCTGCCGTTGTGATCGCTGCAGTGAAACATGCCATAGTCGTCTACGAATAAAGCTCGATTGGCCATTATTGTATGTTGTTAGGTAATTATGTTGTCATATGCTGTGCAGGAAACTCTCTTGTGCCCTCGTTCTGAATCTGCTGGGGCATTATGTGGGAGGAAGTCACTTATTGGCCTTTACATGATGCATTCAAGTGCACCCCTGCTGGTGTTTGAGCATACTCCCTGTACAGCAATTCATCAAGTGGAATATTAGATTACCCCCCAGATGATGCTTAGAGTCAAAGCTAGTCCCTCCTCATCTGATTCAGAACAGTTTACCAACTGTGTCATACTGTTTGACTGGATGATAGGTGCAAATTTGCTCGGCTAATTCAGACTTTCTCAATGGGGAAGAAATATTCTGCTAATGAAGATTTATGTGGAGATAACATAGCGTTCAGCTTGTCATCACTTGGTAAATCTCAGTGAGTGTAAAGCAGTAACAGAAGCTGTCATCTCTGTTGGATAAGTATTGTCTCAGATACAATTCTCCCATCCTGCCTCACTTCTGAAGAAAGATTTGTTCTATGTGACTTCAACATGACTCTACTGAGTGATTGAAAGATGAAGGAATTATAAGGCATGAATGCATCTCAGATAAAGAGGACTTGATGCTGAGACAGATGAAATCCTGATCAGATCCTGTGTTGTGTTCATTCCACAAAAGATAATATGATCAGTGACAGTGCAGGAGAGGGATAGAATAAAACTGTTGTCTTATATAAGTTTATCTTTTTGAAATTGATTCTTAAAATCAGTGACCTCATTTTTAATCTTCCTATGTCCAGGTGATGCAACACCCGACAGACGGAGGACAAATTCTGGGTCTCCATAGCAACGTGAAGGAGGCGCCAGTACGCGTGGCAGAGATCAGCGTGTACTCCCTGTCCAGCCAGCCCATCGACCACGAGGACGGCAGCGGCCAAGCTGGCCGCAAGACTAAAACCTCAGGTGGGCACAGCCATCTCCCGTTCCCCCCTACACGTGTTTGTTAGACAGGCCTGTACTCATGCTGCCCTGCCAGATCCTGTGTGTAATTTCAGCCGTCACCCTAGAGCCAGAAGTCCCTGCCCAGGCCTCTCTCTTCCCTCCTTCCACATGGCTTCTATTTCCCAACCGTGGACAGAATAAACTCTATTAATCCCAGGCCAACCTATTGCCAAGGATATGTTATTTTCTTCAGCTATGGTTGTAATGTCGATTCGAGAGCAGAACAGATGTAGGGCCTATTGCCTTACACTGTTTTATTTCTGGGCGGGGGATATGAGCCCTGCTCTCGCTCCACGCCTTCGTCCTGCTATGCTGATCCCTCACTGCTCTGGATGTTATTAAGGAGGCCGCTCAAACATAACAGATGAGCTCATGCACCTAGTATTAAACGAGTGTCACTCTGAGGGAAGGAGAAGATGTTTATCATTCTCCCCTATGAAGTGATCCTTAATAATATCCATTCCCTTCTAGGAACATAGAACAGGATGTTTCACAGGCAAAGAGGAAGAGAAGTCTGAATTACCTGTAAAAGAAAAAAAAAAAAACATCACTTGGTCTGTCCTCAGCTTTCAAACACACAGGAAAATCTACCTCACTACCACAGAAATGAATCACTCAAAAAGAGCTTGACGGTCTAATTTGCATACAACACGAGTTTCATTACATTTCTGCAGCAGTCAAATTTAGTCTTTAATTATATGATTGGAAAATGTTTTACATTACTGTACACTATATTTTGTTCATTACTCTTGCCAAGAAGGAAAGATTTACTGATGAACGACAACTTTATCCACACAGAATACATTTCTTATTTTTCATGGACTAGGTTACTTAATTTTCTTTACACTTTCTTGGAAATTTGTGATAAATACACAACAGACTTAAAGCATTATTTATATCATAAGAAAATAATACTGTTTATTATATGAAACACATTTTACCTTCCATTGGCAGTGGAAGAACAACATTTACTGAAAAAGTGCATTGAGGAGGTTTGATTTCACTCAGAATGAATTGGTTCCTTCAGGGCTTCTTTATTCCAAAAGAAAATTGAGTTTGAGTTTCAGCACTTATAAGGCTGTGACCTTGGAATTTCTGCTTGTCTTTTTGTTCACCGAATAAACTCTATCTCTCCTAAGCCCAAATTTGAAAAGATGTGTCTGTGGGAAACTTGCAAATTGAAATCTGTATGGCTGTAATGCTGTCTAGATGTGTATCTTAATATCCTGACGTGTTTCTGTGCTTTTTCATCTCAGACCGCTCCCCAGACATGGATAATTATTCTGAGGAGGATGATGACAGCTACTCTTCAGAGCAAGAAGCCAGTGATGACGCAGTTCATGGCCAGGTCAGTGCCAGAAATGACTTGAATGCATACAAATCTGCAATACCCTGTGGAACAAAATACATAATAGAGATTCAGTAAATGAAATGTCAAATAGCAAAACAAACTCCTTGTCACACAGCACAAGCTGTTGTATAGCTTTGATAGCAAGTGATGAGATTAGACTATAGTTTGATATATTTCAGATATTTGATCCACCTTCCCTGCATTTTAGGATCTTTATGACGAGGACGATGAGGTCAGGAAGCCCAAGAAAGCCCGGAGGAAAATGATTCGAACCACTTCCATGACCAGGGTTAGTTGCCTCCTTATACTGCCGCGTACACGTTTTCGCTGGCCACTCATTGACTCTGAGAATAACACAAGATCTGTCTTTGCTGTCAGACAAGCTTTTAAGAGAAAGTACACTCTGTGTTCCATTTGCTCAAGCCATTAGGACGATGTGGATGAGCATGTAAATGAACACTGGGTTCACTGGACTGATTATAATGGTCTTTACGTAGAGTCGCTGTGAATGAGTAATCCAGTGGACAGTTACTGGAGAACTGAAAAGCCTGAGCGCAGCTGTCATGCTTATTTAATCATGACAGCCTTTCCCTTTTTTGGTGGGGGGTTGTTTTCATCATAACTGTATGCTTTCTCTTTCCCGTTACAGCAACCTAACTTCAAGCAGAAGTTTGTGGCCTTGCTTAAGAGGTTCAAGGTGACAGATGAGGTGAGTTGCCTTTGTTTTGATCGACAACCAGGAGACTGAGTTCAATGTCAAAGCAGCAAACAGTGTGTTGAAATTTAGAGCAGGCAGCATCCATCCCTGTGCAGCCCTCTGGAATTTCTCCATCCTTCTGTTATGAAGACTTCAGTGAGTCAGCTTCAATACATTTCAGTTATTAAATTGCACTCTGGGGGGGACTAATCTGTAGTTCTAGCATGCTCCAGTCTGCAGGAGCATTGTCTGTGAAGAAATCAGTGCCACAGCAGAAGTACAAGTGTCATTATAATGCTTGGCTGCCTTACCTCCGTGTTCATGGATGTATGATTCATACTTTGCCATTAGCTGCAATCCGTATGCAAAATCCATTAACAGCCTTATTCTCCATCGGTTAATCTAATGGTAAATGTAGGCTCAGAGGCTTGTCCTATTTAAGGTTTGTGTTTTTCTTCTCGAGTATGAATGTAAAGTGTTTCTGGATTCTACATAAAAGCTTATAATCAGGTCATCGGCAGGATGTCGAACAGTTGTGTGCAACTACATGTCCTCCACTACATAATCTACATTAGGCAAATATACATATAACTACTAGCAAATTGTGGAATCTATGGGAGTAATAGTTCCTTTTCTACTTCTGACATCAAAAAGAGGTAGGTTTCCACACCAAATGAGGATGTGCACTACCTTTTTACTCCTCCCTTTAGGTTTATGTTTAACCATCCGCATCAAGAGATGTATGTATAAGATTTAACCTAGTGATGCTTATAGGAGCCTCTGGGCCATCAGCCTCGCCGGATGATTCTGGAAGCTGCAGGTGGCTCGTGATCTTTTATCACACCCTCTAATCTCTTCCCTGTGGCTGGTCAGTGTGCAGGGTTACAGTTCTATAAATACACAGCCAGGAGGAGGAGAGTGGACAGACTGTGTTTATCTGCTCCCTGCCAGCTCCTGCACTTATAGAGTGGCATTAATCACTTGATTAGTCCACAAGGTCTGGCTGTGTGCAGTTTCTATGATATACATCCCCACTGTGCAGCTGGTAGATCAAGGCACATCACCTGAGCTCTCTCTTCAAGCACTCACTTACCTTCTAAGTGGTCCACTTATGGCCAAGGCAGAGATGTATTTATGCTATAGCTTGTTTTTTTTGTTTTACAGCCGTTAGTGCTGTTGTTCATTCATTAGGCTCCAGTAACCCAGCTGTGAAAGTGATTAGCTAATGCACAGCACCAGTCACTCCCTACATTTATTTAATCCATGGCCATAATCCCTGATTACAGTGTGCTGATGTGTTAATGATGTGTCTATCCTGTGGAGCAGGTCCTGGACTCTGACCCTGTAGACCAGACCCAGGAGGTGGAGGAGGATCTGGACTTACTATATGACAGTCTTGAAGTGTACAACCAGAGCGACAGCGGGCCAGAGATGGAGGATAACGAGAGCGTCCTTAGCACACCTAAACCTAAACTGAAGTATGTCTGCACTCTACCTCTTTAGTCTAATAATTCTATTGACTAAAATATTTATTTTCTGTATATTATGATGGAGAATAGAGCCACTTAAGGGATGGGGCTTTGAGAATACAGTCATAATATAAAAAGAATAAAGACATATATTTAGGCTATGAGCTTATACTAAGGTTTGACAAATAACAAAATAGGTAAAGTTTTTGCTCATGAGCACCACACTATCATAAGTATCAGGACTATCAGGTTAAAATTGTGAGTGTGCCTATTTATCCTCGTGATATTATGAACTTTTTCTCATTACTTAATGCCTTTACTTTTGTAATGAGTTTTTTCTCATTAAATTACGACTTTCTCGTCATATTAGGATTTTTTTTCTGTTAAATTACAATTTTATCCTCATAATACTATGACATCCTTCTCTGTCACAACTTTATTCTTGAAATATTACTGGAATATTCTTGAAATCTCATAATTTGCATTTCTTCGTATGGCACTAATATGGTTTATTGGGAAATTGGACATTTTTGGGATTTGGTTCAAAGACATATATATATTAAAATATATATTATTTCTGTGTTGTTAAATTCAAATCTTCCTGTTTCTGTTTTTAGGCCGTTTTTTGAAGGGATGTCTCACTCCAGCTCTCAGACAGAAATTGGAAGCATACACAGCCAGAAAAGTCAGCAGAGAGAGCTGTCATGTCCTGTAAGTTGATCAGCCGATCCAATAACAGGCCTCTTTGATGCCTCTCAGCTCCACTGTTTACTGGTTAAGTTCTTCCCTCTAGATTTCTGCTGAAGTTCTTTTTTTTTGTTAACAGTGTTGTGTAAAGGAATTCCCCATGGTTAGCAGTGTTTAAATATCTGACAGTCTTCTGTGCTTATTGTGGTTTAGGGATTCCCAAGGTCTATGATACTGCAGGCAAGATATTCTGAGCACGAGTGCAATGCCCCCCACCAGCTCCCACCCCTGCAAAAGAGGACGGGCTGTGGTCCTTACCCTATTCACCCCTGTAGTCATGCACTATTTATAGGGACTGACACCCACTGACCTCTCCACCACCACCATCAACACACACACAAATATGCTCACATACACAGGGAAAAGATTGGCTATAGCTGTCCCTGAATTCCTGCTCAGATTTATGGCCCATTGGAATCAGCAAGGGCAGAGAAAGAGAGAGACATGTTGAGTCTGATGGCGATAGAAGGAGTGCTGTTTATAAATATCTGGGAATCCATTTTAGCCTGTAATAAAACAGCCTGGAGCACTGCAGACTGCTATAGTCCTCCATTTTACCCAATAAATGTCTCAAGCTGAACTCCGTAAAAATGTCTGCGAGACAAAATGTATCGTCTTTGATCTGATATTGAAATGAATTAAGTAGATGTTAGGATATGCACTTAAACACTTTGTCGCGTAAACCTGAACATATAAAAGTGTCATTTATACTTTTGAAGTTTATATATTAGTACACAGTGGGTGGTAGTGAAACGTTAAGATGCTTTTAGAGATATTTATACTCTGCCGCTGTCACCGAGCTGGACTGTGTTGAGACACAATGTGAAATAATGTCAGTCCTGAGAAACTTCAATCGCAACAGATAGACCATAATATTATTGTGAAATCACTGATGTTAATGAGTTCATGTTTTCAGATGGTCTCATTCATCCGCACCACAGTGTTGTGTGTCTGAAATAATGGTGTGTGTGTGTGTGTGTGTGTGTGTGTGTGTGTGTGTGTGTGTGTG